CAATTGCATCTTGGCTTCTAGAATGTCTACTTCGAAAAAACGTTTTTGTCTTAAAAATTGCTTTAGTCGGAGGTGTTTCAACAGGGGGCTTTTCAGCCTTTTCAGGCGACTTGTCTTGTTTGTCGGGAGATTTTACGATGGAAGGCTCAGGAAAATTTTCCTCGACTTTTAAGGGTTCAGGGGCCGACGGTAATTCGGGAACAGTAGTCTTATTGAGTAATTCTGCTACTTCTCTGGCCATTTCATCGTCATCTAAACTTACGCTCTTTGAATCTTCCTTACGTTTCGGATTCTTGACTCTGGGTATTTTACGACCACCATCCACTTCCAGCGGCCAATCTTCATCTTCGCAAAACTCGTATTTAGAATCACTAGAGGGTTCTGGTTTATCACTTGAAGGTGAACTAATTAGTTTCTTTTCAGTTGGTGATGACAGTTCAGGCATTAACGGCACACTGGATAGTTCCGCCGAAGTTGGCACTGCTGGTGATTCTGTGGCTTCTGGCACTTCAGGTGACTCAGCCATAACAGTAGTGGATTCATCGTTAGATTCTTCATCTCCATCGTCCCAGTCAGCTAGAAGACTGCTCTTAATTTCTTCATCAGTTTTCACCTTTTTAGTTTCAACATTATTCGTTTCAACATCTGCTGTTCGTTTTTTAGTAGTACTTGGTGGTGTCTTTTTAGGTTCTTTTACAGTTTTTTCTTTTCGTGGTTTACGAGCTTTTGGTGTTTTGCTTATTTCTGGAGTTGATTTGCTCGATGACTTTATGGGTAGTTTTTTTCTTACTGGTGATGGTGTGTAAGGTGTAAACGAGACACTGTGTGTTTTACTATGTAAAATTAAAACATTTAGACGTACTGTTGTGAACGGACATGCGTGGCAGGAGTATATTCCAGAGCTTGACACACTTGGTGTGGATGCAGCTGATGTAGAAGCAGTAGGTGTTGAACATGATGGTACTGGTTCTTCTACTATCTCTTTTTCTTCTTCCTCCCGTTCTTCGCTACCCAGCCGTGTTTCGTCTTTATTATCTGATACTGGCTCAGCACTAGTGGAGGGAACAGGTTCAGTAGTTTCTATAGACGGCGTATCAGAACTTGGTTTTGAGCCTTGTACCAGTATGTGTACTTTGTAATCGACTTTTTCTTTACCCTGAAACAATAGTAAGTTATTATAGCTACAAAATACCTATATAATTGTTATTCTCAATTATTGTCATGTCATTATCTTCAGTTATTGTGATTAAAATAAATACCTTTCTGAAAGGTGTTGAAATCCTAGATGGTTCAGCAGATCTCCCTCGACCACCCCTGCCTGGAAACAAAAAATATAAACAATGATAATTAGAACTTTAACAATGGATGAATAGGATCAAATAATGAAATATGTGACAATAATTACCTTTTTTACCAGAGCCGGGAGTTTTCTTCTGAGGGTCACCAAATATGCCTGCATAGCTTTCTTTTTTCTTTTCTTGGAACTCATCTCTTGTAAGAATTTCTATATCACCTCCAACTGCGGTCTCAGCCCGGATAACATCCTCTGGAAATTTCTCCATGTGCCCACGTTTCGTTCTGAACATATCTGAAGATGATAAAATTGTTTTTGTATTCTGAGTTTGTGCAATTAAATAGAAATCATCTTGGTAAACATTAAAAGTACTTACACAGGCCTTTGTTAATGAATTCATTTTTGCGACTGCATTCATATTTGAAAATGGAACTGGCATTTTTCACGTATTCACTGAAAATGAGAAGATAACAAATATTTACATAAACAGGTAAATGTGATGAATTAAGTGAGAATCCATAAACTCTGGGCTAGTCTAAACCTGAAGTAATATACATAGCATGTAGTTTTTTTGTTATAGGATTTATTATGATTAGGTAATCTTTGAAAACTATGGGAAAACTGTGAGAACTAATCCTAGCTTGTTTCAGAGAATTAACAATCAACACTAAGAAAGAAACCAGAACGGAGTAAGGTTCATTTCATTGTTGTCAGTCTTTCATATTTGATCTCATTAACTAGTACTGTGTACTCCTTGCACACCAGTGCATCCAGGCAATATTGCTTGCTTATTTAAAGTCATAACAGTTCAATAAATATTAAAGTAAAAAATATCTAGAAATACAGAGCAGAAAAAAAAATCCTATTATGGAGACAGAGGTGGACCTCTCTGGTAATAATCCTGGATGTGTCCATCCAGGAACACAGAATTTTATAACTACAAGAAGCATCTATCTAACTCTTTGTACCAACCCATCAGGGTGCATACCCAAAACATTGGCAATGTTACCATAATGAGCATGATTCTAATCAGACTTTAGGTCACCCACCCAATATATTGTTTTCGTAACTCAGCTGACATGCAACCTCCATAACCTATCAAACACTACAATTGGTTACTACAGATATAATTTAGATGTAAACATATATGTAGGCTTTATCAAAATCCTATTTTCTCTCGCAAGAATATCCAGCGCTAGTTACTGATCATAAATTGGACTAGACTAATACAATAATACCATGATTTTTCATTCATGAAGACAAAAGAATTTAAAAGTAGACTACAATCAAGTTACAATAATATTAGGATAATATGATCCTATTTGTTGTAATTTATATCCTACAGAGAACAAAAGAAGTAAATTTCCAGAATGTTACTGAGTATAAGACAAGTTACTTTATAACTGATTTTTCTGCTAAAATATCAGATACTAATGTGTATTTGTACCATATCTAAAATGTTATGGCAATCTTATCATTTTCGGATTTTGCTGTTGCAGTCTCATATTAATTTTTATTTTATTGATACCTGTATTCACTTTCAAACGTCTAAGTTTGTTAACAAGTCTCGAGTGACTAAAACCAAAATATAATTATGTAGCTGTATTTTACACATAAACACTTAGGTGTAAAAATGTTATTTAATAGCTTATATGCAAAAACCACCGTTAACATCATTATTAAATTTGTAGTAAATTGTTAAGTCTGTTACGAGTATAGCATAAGACCGCTGTTGAAATAAACATTTTCTTTTACCGCTAAAAATACAACATGGAAATATTTTAACAGCAGTAAAGAACTTTTTCCTTTTACTATGTTTATTTATATTGATAAACTTATAACAGTATATTAATTTGATGAAGAACTATTTAACTGAAAAAGTTTTTAGGCAGCGAAATATTTGTTTAATTATAGTAATTATTACGTATGGACACAATATATAATACTGCCATTTATTATTACACACCTGCATAAACCACAATTATGTACCGTTGTGGGAAATCAATATTTGGAATTTTCCATTTTGTTAGGATTTACTTTTTAGACCCAATTTATTAGTAAAGTATCAAAACATAGATTACTTCATTTATCAATAACATTTTAATTAAACCATGTGTTCAAGAAGAAAAATCTCATTTGATAGAACATTAAGAATCTCAAAAAAAATACATTTAAGTAATGACCTTCCAGAATGCCTAGACGGCGCCCTAACTACCATAATTATGTACATATCATCATCATAGTAAATTGAACAAAGAAACTACAGTTTTGGTTACACTACTGAGTGATGTTGAACTAGTATTCGTTTACAATGCACTGTACCAGGTTATAATATTTGCAAACTTACTATGTATCCTCCTGGAAGAACTTGACAACGGCTATAGGTGGCTTCCGAAATGATGGCAGGACATCTGGTGGCAGCTTCTCAGAACCGACCACCTCGCCTGGCCACCAGCAGGATCCAAGCTTAACCCATACCACCTCCCCATCCAAATAACTAATATCAGTGTTTTCACACATCACCACTTATTATGTTCAGGCAAAACGCACGACCATATTTTGTCAAGTAGACACTGGATGCCGAGTGCAACAGTTTTTACAACATTTTCTTCAAAACAACTCATACATCAAACTTTAATCACTGGATAAATCGACCGTACCTTCAACAAAAAGAAAATGTAAGAATTTGTCTTTTATTTGTCAAAACAGTAGCAAAATATTAGTTGTAAATATCACCGACTGCGTACGAAATTATTTTACTTCGTACGTATGTTGGTAGCATTGATAAATGGAAAAGATGCAAATAAAGATAAATATAGGGATAAGTAAAATATAAGGAATTTATAATCAAAAAATATTGTTTTTGGTTACATTAACAGTATAAATATTTGATAATTTATATGATTTTATTAAAAAAGAATAAAAACATAATTACCGGAAATGTACAAAATGGTCAGCGTCAGCAGATACCAACACTGCCATATATAAATCAGAGTTGCCAGTCTTGTATGACAATAGACAACTGTTTTAGTAAATGCTATTTTTAAACTTGCCAGTTGTAGCGATGTATAATTACCATTTACCTATCTCAAAATATTTACTAAAAAACAATAATTAGGTGGTACATGTATCTCAATCTAAATTAATCATCTTTTGATGTAAGCATCTAACAATTTTTGCAATAATTTAGTTTATTCGATAGGCTTATACAGTTTAGTCGAGTGACTAAATTGGACTCGAATAAACGTCATACACGTGATTTTAACTGATTTCCATTCAAGAATCTGTGTTCTAAATTCGAAATACTACCGGGCATACAAATCACACTTCCTTCACGCTACCTTTTACAAATTTATTTTATTTTTATTAAAGTACAAAGAAAATATAACTTGTAATAAACGGATTTAATTATAGTCATTCTTTCCTAGTCGACTTTTGGTAGTGCAGATTTCAGGGATCTTCCCAATGAAGTTGCTCGACCTGGGAATCAGATTCCAGAAAAATCAGAGACCTTTAGCTCGACACGGCTAATAATATTTATGCGTCTTAATTATTATACCGGCTTACAATAATATTCATCCATACTTGGATACTGTTCTTATGTAAGCAGGTACCTACTTACAAATAATGATGTAAATGTTTTTTATTGTTTAAATAAATCTTATTACATACTTAGATAAATTATTAGTAAAAATAAAACACACTATCCATTTCACATTTTTTATTTAGAAACATAATTTACATAACAAAATTATAATTTAGGTGGATTAGGGAAAGTACAACTTTAGTACCACATACTTAGGTACTGGCGTTTCCTAAGGTAAAACGGGGTGAATAGAATTCGAGGAGTGAATAGATACAGGAATGGGGTGAATAAATGTTAGAATCTTTTCCCTACACTTATTCACCCCTTTTCTGTATCTATTCACCCCTCGAATAATTCTATTCACCTCATTTTACGGTACCTAAACTTATTCGGGGAACTAAACTTATCTACAAAATACATACTGATGAATCCAAAGCACCTACTTGAACGATGACTTACAACTAGAAGTGTGTGTGATGATATGAAATGTAATAATCCCAAAGAATTGCTTCGATATATAATCTATTTAGCGGACATTATGTACTGGTTTTAAAATTAATAAATACAATTTAGAACTAAGGTTTTGGTCTTTTAAGTCCACATTTGGATGAACCTTATTTGTTGAAGCTAGTTAATTTTTTCTACAAATAACCAATCAAAATCACATTTTGAATGATCTTTTTTTTTAAAACACTTTTTACACAATGATTAAGTTTTTAATACTTAAACTATCCCGCGTATTGGCGCACTATTTTCGCCCACTGCTGTGGATAATTTCTTTGCACGTACGATAGAGTGCGTTGTATTTGCTTGGTTTCTTGTGGCGAGCACTGGGGACAGGCTCCTCGAAGCACCAAAGGTGCTAGTGCTGAAAACAGAAACGCAAAAATAAATTCGAAATATCTAATAACAATAATATTACAAAATTACCAAGGTATATTGACAAAAAGCAGTGCTTTGTGTAACCTTAAGGTGACCGTAACGGCAAAGTAGAATACAATTACCACAATCTCCCCTTCTCTTCCAGCGGGTATCGATAGAACCGACCTAGGCATTCATTAGATAGAGACCGGGCAACAGCATCTTCTGATTCTGAGTCTTTTAAACTGTGGACTCCAACCTGCCTATCAAGTACTACTAAGCTTAGACATTATTGAATACATTTTTTTTTTCTTTGGCAACCGAGTCTACAATACGATGTTGTCGACATTGAAAACTTTCATAAGTACCTAGAGAAGGCCCAAAATCTAACAGGGGACTGCTATAGTCTGTCGATGATGCGGATAAAAATCAAGTCTTCAACTTACTTTTAAGCCTTTTCCCAATAGGATCACAGGGTCCTTCACCCAGCGCACACTTAAGCTGTCGCTGAATGAAACGTTTGTCTTGTAGGGCATCATCAAGCGCTGTGTCGGAGACTGGAGGCCGCTGCGTCTGCGCAACGGACACCGCAGCCACACAGCATAACACCAACGCGTATTTGATCTGGAAACAATGGAAGAATTCTATTTAATATTTAAATTTTTATAAAGTTTAAAGAATGGGAAATTAAGCATAGAGGTAGGCAGACCGATTTTGGCTACAGTACAGTGACCTGACTCAAAGTACCGAAAACCTCACTGGTGTGGTCTTAAGTTTTGCAACGAATGTGCCTAAAAATGTAACTACGTAAGTATATGAAATTAATTAAATAAATAAAGGATAATGTAACTCATCGATATAGTATTTTTTTGTAGGTTCACTTAAACAGATGTAGGTACGATTTACAAGTGGTTTTTTTTTATGGAATAGGAGGCAAACGAGTAGACGGATCACCTGATGGTAAGCGATCAGCGCCGCCCATGGACACCCGCAACACCAGAAGAGTCACAGGTGCGTTATTCTTTTCATAAGTGTGGCCTTTGACCCGGATAATTTATTATTTAGACGAGTTCGAGCGACTCATCGATCACGACCGACGACCGTCCACGACACTACGTTCTTTTTATTCTATGTACCACACCAATCCATTATTCATCGACTGTGCTACCAATCGTTGCAAAATTTAAGAAATTTACGTGCTTAGAAATTAGACGCTAGTCTGATAACCTTGAAGTTTTCATATTGTACTATACTTAAGACTAGTTCTATAATTTTTTATACATCGATATTTCAATGTTCTGTAGTAGATAAGTTAAATATTAAGGTCTTCCAAGATAGTGAGCTCAGTTTATTAATTATGTTTTTTACTTTTCACTTTATTTTTTAATGTAGGAACAATATTCACGCATATTAGGGCAAAACCAAATCATTAGTCATAGTCATAGTAATTACTCTAATTCATTTTATAGATCAATAAAATAATGATTTTATTTAATTAATAATTAATATTATTATTCACAGGTATAGTTATACTATATATAGAATGTTACTTAATAACTTTTGTAGTAAGTACCTAAAGGTACCTACTAAATACCAATGAAAGACAAATTTATTTAATAGACACAATCGTGCCAGATAAAATAGAAGATTGCTTGAACAAAGACGAGGGTCATAAGGACATAAGGACAAAGCTATTTATAATATTGTATTTGGGGACCGTCTGAATGTTTAAATAGGTTTGGCCTACCTGAGTATGATTACAAATAAGAATCTGTACTTCGAAATATTGCTTCGAAAATCGACACCTAACAAGTTTATCTACCAATGAATTTTTTAATCGAACCCTAAGAATCAAACAAAAATTATCAAGGACGGATCATTAGATTAGGAGTAGACAGACACTAAACAGATAGCCAGCAAAAATGTAGATTTGCGAAATTAGAGCTCCACAGGGACATTTTTAAAGGGATAAGAATGAAATGGTATTGGAAACAATATAAGACTGATCTTTGAGAAAAGTCAGAAGAAACAAAAAGTTTACGGAGTGTACCTGACTGTAAATATAAATGTGTACTGATGGTTCTTGGTTAAGTATGTTTTTTATTCCTTTTTTTGGACAAAGGAAGTGCAGGTACCGAGTGATGACTAAAGAAATGCTTTCTGCAAAAAAGGTCGCAAGTTCATTCACCTTTAAAACCAGATTTGTAAAATAAACTGATGTATTTCCGGGTTCACATTGGAGAAGGCTTTATTTGACTGACAACTTATTAACTTTTTAATCATTTAAAACCGCAATACAGTTTGAGTATGCTTTGTCATCATGCATAGATTATCCGCGCTCATTTAGTAAATTAGTTGGATTCAAATATATAATATTTAACAAGCACGGAATTAATTAATTTTACTAAATAAAAAACTTGTAAGCCCATTATTTTTGTTTTTATGTGTTGCTATAATGAGTTTCGGTGCCTCATCGCGTATAGCACAGCTGTTTCTGAGGTTGTAACTTTAAAGAGACACTATCGTGCTATCGTAGAGCACGTGCTTGGAAATCTAATGAAGTTGCAATCAAAATGATCGATGCTTCAGTCATCAGTGTGTTGAGTCAACTATTTATTTGTACGTGTAGTATATTGTGTGGTTGTCTTATTGTTTTCATAGTTTCCCTATTCCTTATAACAACGGTTTTGGCTGGTCTAGAAATGGAACTGCCAAGGTGCGCAATGAGATTCGGCCAGGCATTTTATTTTACTCATCTATTTTGTTCCTACGGACAACAGCGAGTAAACGTCACCAAGATTTCGACTTGAAGCAGGACTTCGAACGAATGTTGATATCCAATAATTAGAAGATTTTATGTAGGTAACAGTTTCTTAAAACCTCGCAAGAATTATAATTTTGATCAGCCGCACTTAGTGCCTCCTCCTTTTTTTAAAGTCGGTAAAGAAGCAGCAACGATTTGTTATTGCAATAGTGGTGATCCTTAAACGAGTCCAAAAGACTTAAAAACCCATACATACGTTCTAACTACTAAACTTACTTAGTTAATTTAACTTATGTTAGCTGCTACCATAGTAGGTAATTTAGAACAGCAATTACATATGTTGCTGTAAGTTACGCAACATTAACTTCATTTGGTACACTTAAATTATAATGATTTTATTTTAATTTGTATACTGCACGTGTTTTCTTGTTTTTCAAACCAAATTCATTATGGTTTTGTATTTTTTAGTGATCATCATTTAAGTTGTATTGAAAACATTCAATGATTACCTTTTTTATTTACCTGCATTCGTAAAATATTTAAATTTGGTTATCAAAACATGAATCTACTATATGACTCATTTTATAATTAAAAATTACCTATATATGTAGCGGTATATACTATACCTATATATACTATAAATACGAACAATTATAGTGAAGCAGGGCGAGTCCTTTAATTTTTTTTCTATGGTGATGCTACTTGAGTTTTCCTCAAAGGAAATCCTGTCCTCAGTCCTAAGTCTTGCAGTATATTTTTCTATGAATTTTCTAGTCTTTAAGAAACATAGATGAGTTGATTGTTTAATACTTATTTGGGACAAAATGCAAGACAAAAGAGTATTGAACTGTTCGCTTGCAAAGATGACGTATGCTGGTGAAACTTGTACATACTTACAATAAGAATAGACATATTTCAAGTTATATGAAGTGCATAAAGAATAATTGAGTGTTGTTTTAGTTTGTTCTATACGAGACCTATTGTGTAGTTTCTAACCAATTGTTTTAGTCGTAAACTACATTTGAATACACGATGCATACTTATAAGTAGATATCTAGTAGTAGATACCTACATAAGTAGAATAAATCACGTAGCTTGGGTATGATATCTTATCAAACAGTTCGTAGTATCCAATGACTGTCCAGTGTAGGTAGGTATCGCTATGGGCTTACCTACCTCAGTCTTAGGTAAACAACATGCTTTATATTAATTAAAGGCACCCATAAAATGTGGGTAACCAAGTATATATTTACCTATCTCGTGTTTTCCTATAACATGATCGATGGTACCTACGTTGGTACATAGGCAGCACCCACTCAACCGACATAAATATAGAGAAAGCCTTGAATTATTGTGGTAAATGCTCAGTTTTTGTAAACGGCGACCATGTAATACATTCCAAACAATCCTACAATGGGGCTCATCATTCAAACATTCACATAAATGATGAAAATTGCACCGACGTGATAAATAAACAAAATTGTCGCCCTTCGCCTACTTACAGAAAACTGTTGAGAATCTAAATGAGGATTTGGTATGATATAATCTTAAAAACCTTAAACTACGTAAGCAGTGCAGTCATCACGGCTCGTTTACCTAATTCCTTTTCGACCTCCGGAGTGGGATCAAGTAAATATTAGAACATCCACGTACACTAGACACCCATACTCCGTACACTATACTATTAATCGGCAAATTAAATAATTTACCAAGCACACAAGCTAACTTTAATAATTTTGTGCTCATTAAAAAGGACCTAATTTTTTGGTCCCAATTCGACCCTGTGGGACACCTACACGAGTTCTTCTAACTGCAAATCAGAAACAATAGAAGGGTTTAAAATTAATGCGGAATATTAATTAATAAAACGTACAGTATTTTAATTATGTATATCTATTACAGATTATAATAATTTGATTATTAAAACAGGAAAAGAAGTGGAATTAAATAACGTAGAGTCAAGTATCTCTTTAATAAAAAGAAGACATAATAATAATAAGTGGGTATTAAGAATGACCTTCGAATGGAATACAGATCAATGAATCCAAACCAGTTTTGGTGATATCGATCGACATCGAAAAAGGAAGAATACAAGTAAATAAAATAAAAGAAGTTACTTATAAATTGTTGTATATAAGCATTAAAAATAAAACCTAAACTAGAAATCAGAGGTCTGTTTCCTATATAAGACTATTTTAATTATCCACAATAACAGAACAAGTTAGTAGTAAACAATAGACAAATTTTCTGAGAACCCGCCAATTTGTACATGTTAGCTATGTTGACATTCACATTCGTGCGGTCGTGAACACTAATCTGCACATGTTACGCAAAGCTTACACACAAAAATGATGCTTTAATAACGAAATGTGCGACTAAGTGGACCATAGTCCCTAATACGAATTTAAGTAGAACACCTTCGCTTTATGTAACCCCAGTCATTAGGCTGACCAATACAAACTATGACGCGTGCGCAAGATTGCTGTAATTATACACACTGCAAATTATTTAGGAAAATAGATAACTGAGGATTGAAATCTCCTTACAATCAATTTTATTGTTCGCTATCTAATTGTTATAGAAAATTTATGTTTTTGTTATTATCTGCCTCGATTATATGATGTACTTGCGATCATACACGAGTCAAACTGAACGAACATACATAAATTAAACGAGGAGCGAAAATATCAACAGAAACCTGTACTCGTACATAAAGTCAATCTGTGTACACTTAACAGGCAATTTAATCTAGAAACTGACTGTCCTTCGGTAGCCTACCAAGAGTTAAAAAGCTCGAAACTTGTCGCCAACAGGAAAACAGATATTATAGAGAAATTGCAACTTACCTGCATGTTAGGAGTGACGTAGATAGACGCTAGAGGAATCGAAACACTTTTACTTTCGTTGCACTAGTGAGCCGTTTAGTTAGCGATTGACCTGGATCTCGGCTTTATGATTTCTACAGTATTTCACGATATTTTCTCGAAGCCAGTGAAGCGTTTAAGCGTACGTCTGGTTGGAGAATGCTGGAGCGAGCCGTGGTGCCGTAACCTCTTACTTAACTCGACAATCCCCCCTATTTCGACTTGGCTGTACATACTCGACGGGCTGCACCGAGATTGTGCGTCAACGTTACGTGAGCGCGCAGTGTGAATAAAACACCAATTATTGTATTCATATATTATTTTATTTTAGGTACATAATGAGAACAGGAAACGGATCAAGCTATATGTGTTTGAAAAAAAAACGACGTTGCAGAGAAGTGTGTTAGTTCCTATCTTTGATTCGAGTACACTCTCGCGTAAAGTTCAGTAGGTTAAATGCACTTCAACGTAATACATCAACATTGAGTACTATCATTCATCATATATAACTATATTGTTATGTAGATACAAATTAAATACAATGATTCATAGCTAATATTTCGGCAAATAAACTAGGTAATTGGTAATTAACAAATATTAGCTAATCGCTAACATTGACATTTGTTCATGACTAATTCTTTTGTTTCCAATTTATTTATTTTAATTGTCAAATATGTAATTTGTAATTAACCTAAATCTCTAATAAAGTACCCTAGGCCTTTACATATTGATTTATTTATTAGGTTTAATTATCAATTTATTTGTAATTTTGACCGAATTATAGTTTCATAACAATTTAATCTTAAGTCCGATCAACATCCGTCTTTTATGTCGTAAGTATTTCGATTGGTTCTCTACAAATTCAATAGTAGCTGTTACTCCAAAGGAAAGCAAAGAATTTTCTATCCACAATGTGTTATAAAATGAACGACATAATAATGAAACGTGTAAAATTTCCCATTATTGTCCAGATGTTGCTACAGCCCGATCTGTATGAAATTCTACTTTTGAAACTGGGCCACGTTCGTTACTTAGGTAAGTACTTAAATGACAAATGACAGTATTGGCGGGAAACCATGCAAGCAATAAAAAAGTTATTTTAAAAATACTTTGGATGAAAAACACAGTTCGTGTATGTTTAACATGAAAATGTATCTGAGAATATGTCAGTAAATATAATATCGATTTTTTTCTAGTAAAACAGCATTATAATAGAGCTCAGAGAGATAAGGAGAAATATTATCCTGTCCCGATTACGCACCAAAACCCATTACATGATTCATTTCAATATAAAAGTATAAAGTTAATTTATGTTTGGTAGGTAGTATGTACTGGTTAATGGCCTGTGCAGACGAGGAACTTATTACCGATAAAAAAGGTCTTGACTCAACTGCATCACGGGGTACTTTTAACCCTCTCTGTGGTTCTGTGAGTTATTCGATATAAGTAGTTTATAACGGATTTATATCGATATAGTTCAACTTTATAAGGAACCTATATAAAGTACCCGGAAAAAAGGACCTTATATGCACAGGCCTTAAGTTATGATATTTTTATATATTTTAACCGTATTGGCGAACAATTTTCGCCCACTCCCATGGGTAGTTGCGTTGTACGAAGGCAAGGGTGCGTCGAATCTGGCGCGTCTCCTGCATAGAACATTGTGGACAGGCCCCTCGTAGTACTAACGGGGCTAAAGCTGGAAGAGAAATATTTACAGTTAGGAAATGATTTCACAATTAACTGATCATCGATATCAGACGGAGCTGTAGCGTACCTACTGGCCCTCTTTTTGAGAGGTGTTGGACATAGTTGGTTGACATAAATTGGAAAAATGTACGTTAGTATGATTTTTGTTTTTAGAGAGTTTGGTACGATAGGCTTGCATTACAATGCTCATGCTGCCTATACCTTAATGCTGGGTAACACTAAACAAAAAATATGTGAGGAGGTTTTTAATGCTTTGTCGGGAACAATGCATTAAAAATGTTCATGCAAGAATCACCAACAATGGAACCCATGCGTCATTTGGGTTGCCAACATCCAGGAAAAAATATACTAAAATTTCATTTAGGTATCGTTAAGTATTTTTATCTGAGTAAATTGTAAAAGAAACCTTAACCTACTTTTATAGAGACAGGTAAATGTCATAATCACTTTAGGCTTGTATTTGTATCTACCTAAGTTTCAGAAATTCTTGTAGGCTGATATTTATTATTGCTAATGCAATCTTTATGTTAAATCAACTAAGATCGCGGGTTACTCACGTGAATATACTGAGAAAATCTCTACTAGTTTCGAACCACAGAGGGCTTTCATCCTCATGAGCAACGTGCGCGGTCGCGGCGACGTCGCCGTAACCGTCGCCATCGTCGGAGTAAGCTCGTCGAGTACCGTCATTATAGACACAATTATAGAACAATAGGTTGCGGTCACCGGTGACCGCTTGGTGTTTGACAGTTTAATAGACATGTCTCACGATAGTTATTACAAAAACAATCTTTATGTTAAGTACACAAAAATGTAACGTGCCTATGGCTAAAGAAAATCTAAAGGCAATAAACCAACTTTATGGAAATCTTTTTGGCCCTTCAACATCTTTCCAGTTTATAAAACTTCTGCATGTGCATCCTTCTCAGTGTTCTATGCATAACATCTATCTAATAACATTAATGGCCTACCCTACACCTAGAAGTTTCATATCAAGTTAAATCGTAGTATCATTGAAACATTTAAAAACAAATTCTAATCTGTGCAATATAGTTGCTGTTGAGTTTCTTAACAGAAAAACCCAGCAACACTTTCATTTGAACTAGGAATTGCACACAGTTGTTAGTACAAAGCGTCACTTTACGTAATTCAAAATAATAATGACATTTGCAGTAGGTAGGTACAAGAATACCTACTTATTTTTATGTAATTTGATGGTAGACGTGCAGGCCAACCGCAATTTTTAAATATGAAAGTCCGTAAGCTCTTGAGTTTTTTTCCTTATTCCGTTTTAACCATAATTACGAGCGTTTGTAAGACACCTCACATCATGTTGAATTCCATTAATTTGAGTCCTATTTCTTCGTAATTCGAAGTTTAAATTTTATTCGTTGAAGAGTTTAGGGCGTCTTTTATTGGCGGCTCTTGAATATTGTTTTATTTTACAGGTCATCGTATTATTTAATTTAATTATCGACTTTAATACCGATAAGGTTGGGGTAGGTTTGAGTTGATAATTGGCGAGAAGCAACCATAATAGCCAAATCTCGCAACGGACGCCAAGGACCATTTTAGGTCACGAATTAGTTTTCTAAATTCAAAAAGTCACATTGAAAATAGACACAGACATGGATAGAAATGTCTGCAATAGTTCTTCTCATAATTGTCACAAATAAAACAAAACAAAACACTGTAATGAGTAAAACCGTCATTGCCTATAAACGAAGCTCATACAATGGAACGACTTTAGTAATGACTAATCATTGGACAAATAAGCAAACTATTTTGAAAATACCACGAAGTATGGTATGACCATTGATGTGACTATAGAGTTTACCGCAATGAATTGGCATGATCCCTCCTATAGATATAATACCTACGCAGATACTTAACTCGCACCGAGGTTTTACTAATATCTATTGCTATATATATATTATTTACAAGTTAGCTATATATTATTTACAAGTACTGTTACAATCTCAATGCTTAAAAAAAAAGTGGGTATTCTCTTGTCTCTTAAAATAAAGTGTTCTAAATATAAATTCGTAGGTGTAGGTCTGACAATTTCCTGTCTTTAGTAATAGGTTTATTCTGTAACTCACTTCGTAATCGTCTCCCAACAGGATCGCAAGGTCCTTCACCGAGTGCGCATTTAATGTGTCGCTGCATCGTGCTCTTATCGGCTAAAGTCTGTTCTAATTGTGCGTCTGTCATTTGTGGCCCAGCCTGCACATGCAAGCCGGCTACCAAACCCACACACGCCACCACAAAAACTACGATGATCTGAAATAAAGTTTATTTTGAGTTTCATATGGCCAACATAATCAAATGACCAATCTTGATCCAACACATTTGGAAATTTAGAACCAGGATCTAAGTTTTTGACAAAAATTCAATAGAAGTAGGAAATTTTAAAAATTATTCTCTTTCCAAATATTTTGGATTTGGGACGGTTATTACTTTCGACCGTTACTTTTTTTAAGGATTTGTAATTAGTACTTAGCTGTGTAAGTACTGGGTACCTTAATGGTCTGTAAGATTTATACAAACTGTGTCGAATGATTATTATTAACATAATGGGAGATGTACAATTGAATAAATTGACCAAAAAGTACATTTTCAAAAATAACGAACCTACTTGTATAAAGTACCTACTTTAAAACAACATCACTTTCTTTTTTGTTTTGATGAATGCAAATGATTACTCCATTAATTACATTGCACAAAAATACATAAATGATAGTTCTGTTTTTCTTAGATTTATTTCCAAAGTCGTGAACTCTGGGCATCATCGTCGCTGACTCACTAAAGATTTACTTTTAAACGAATATGATTACAAAGTTCCGTTGAAAACGATTGAATAACTACCACGCAATGTTTTAGTAACACGAGGAACGTGAAATCGGGAATTTCATTACATAATTATTTAAAATATATTTACGAAACCCGGGTCTATTGAAAATATAATAATATAAAACATATATTATATATTTATTTACTTACCTGCATTATAGAAACGCCCACTTTGCACGGATTTAATTTCAATATTTTATCACTGAAGTTGTAGTAGAAACGGAGCCGAATATTTAGGTTACGTCCGACCAACGATTAGGGAACAACTGGCCACTACGATCGTGTTAATATTGTGACCGGGAATGCGGCCCTCCCCTCTTTGTATGGTCATTATCTCGGAATTGAGGGCTCTCCTTAGAAAATATTTAACGACGTCCTTTTGTTTACTAATTTATTATTTACTTTAATTTAATTGTGGCTTCAAAATTGTTAGCTAAATACGTATTTAGGTAAGTTAAGTAGGTACCCATTTAAATATTATGTAAGGAATAACGTACCCTACATTTATTCTAGGCTCTCGAATACTGCTAATAGTTTACTTTAAATATAGGTAGGTATGTGTCGCGGAGAACCTAACGGGTTTACGGGGCTCCGGCTCGACGTGCAGGAGAAGGAACGGGGTGGTTTTTAGTCAGTAAGAGTCTGACACTCCCTCCCGCCTCACCCAGGCGGGAGCAGCGATTCAATGATTTTCCCCCCATAAAAAAACATAGGTATGTATAGAATGTCTGTCAGTGCCTCTAGTGTAAGTCTATCTAGGCATCGTAGTCTAAGTAAGTACCGACCTACCTAAGTAATCCTGCTAACGTTTCTCCATGATTCATACGCTCAGGATTAGGTACCTACTCAAGAAGGGCGTACTAATCATAAATTTTTATTGAATATTGATTTCCGTAGCATGTAGAAAAAGATTTAAATCTATCAAACTAAATCCTACTCTAGTAACTGTAACTTCCAATACGTTTCACTATAGGTAATGTTTTTGCGTTAAATAGAATTATTTGGAACAAGACGAAGAAATAAATTTAATGATAATCACGTGAAAAGTGTAATTTTAAATAATTCTCTTTCAATAAAGCCTTTTACTTTTTAGTCAAAAGTATTCTAGCTGAATCAAAAGTTGGCGGTGAAAAAAAATAGAAAAACGCAAACCGCGAAGTGTTCAGATTAGTAATGTTGCAATCATGGAATTTATTATCATTATCCTATTCATAGTGAAAACCTGTCCATCTATTGCTTACTATTTAGATGACATTTTGTTCAGTCGTAAGAACAAAATACCTCATTAGTACATAATTAATCATGTTTTTGTTATTCGATACTTTGATACTTGCATAGTCGATTTTACTGATGCCGACACTAGTCAAATTGCTTTTTAGCCTTCTTGCGCTCTATAAGTAAAGTAATACCTAAAATAGACCAATTTTTCCTCATTATTTAAATAAATATTCATTTTTTATGTAATAAAATGACAAAATAATCTTTAAAATATAATTTTTACGGATTATTTCGCAATACTACAAGCTATATAGTCACACTTCCACCGACTCGACTATTTATCGAAATCTTTAGAGTCTACCCACTATTGCTGTTGGCTGTATGTGAACAATACAATAGGTACCTACATAGTCGTTTACAAATTCTAATTTGATATTGATTGAGTTGTAAATTATTACAGTCAATGGCAGTATAACAAAATAACAAAACCCACAATATAAATTCGATGTTATTGGTGATCGTGTAAACAAATAAATAATACATATTTGTGAGCTTTTATTTAGCAGTGCCCTTTGGAAAGTTAATAAACAGAAGTTACCGAGTAATTATCTACTTGTCACTCAATCATATGTTATCAATTAGTGATGTCAGTTTGTTTACTAATGAAAGATTAGGATAAAAACGTCTAATTTTTCTTCTTTTCGTTATGAATTTCGATGAATCGCCTGGAGGTTCGTCGAGTAAAGGACAAGAAAATGGCGACGATTCGAATGGATCTGATCGCCCACTCAAGAAAGCACGTTTTGCATGGCAAGTTAAAGGCAAATACCATTTAAAAAATGATGCAAACGATGCGGCCGTGGATGCTACAACATCTACTGAGTCAGAATCCACTGATGAGGAAATGGCTGGTTGTTCAGGCTATACTTGTTTGACACCAGATGACCTATTAGACAATACCAATACCGACATAAGTGAAGCTATAGATCCATATTTAGACACCTTAGGTGAATACATTTACGATCAAGAGCTGAAAAACCTACAATATGTTACTGGTAGTGCTGATGAATCCCTTCGAAGAATAAGTAAAATAGAAGATTTTGAATATAAAACTACAAGAAATGATTCTGTTATTGGTAGTTATGAAGTGGACTCTGTTCCTATGTCATTAGTAGCATCAGAGACTTACACAGAAGACCAGTGCATAGCTCGGTGGCAGGCTAAACAGGTAATAATTACCATGTTAATTTAAATATTTTCATAGTCTTAAGTTAAGTATAGTTTTAGTCCGAATGTTTTCAAATATTATAACTTGTCTTGTTCGTATTGCAGATGGCGAGAGGATCTATTGACAATACAATAAACCGTGTCCTAGATTTCTGTAAAGAAAATACATTAACACCTGAAGAGGACCATGTAGCACATGATGTGGCAGAACTAATAAACAATCTCCCTGAGGATGACAGTATTGAAAATGAAGGAATACTTATGGCTATCTCAGCTCACGGATTACAAAATGCATCCAACTCTTCTTTAGCTAGAGTTGGGGAATTTGAAGAACAATGTGACTCAATAGACTATGATGGAATGCAACCAAATGTAGAAATTAGTGTACCTAATTCTCGGTTGGATGTAGAATCTCCAGAAAGATATCAACATGGTTTAAATTTAGGATTGAATAATATAGATATGCAATGGTCTTATTCAAACGCTGAAAGGAGTAGAGGAAATGCAAATTCCCCATCTCCATCAAATGTAGGCCTGCCATTTGCATTTATTGAGAATCTCCGTAATGGTGATGTAGCTTCTGGGATTATGAATGATTCTGACAATCACTGTGATGTCCTTGATGCGGCCGTTCTGTTTGCCATACAGAGCAAAGGATTGACTACGTTTGGAACTGACTATGGCTAAGATTTACATTTAGTTTGTTTTTGTTTTTGTAAAATATACTGTTGCTTATAAAGACTAATAAACTGAAGCACAAAAGGATTTTAAGTATAAGTGTAATGCGGTTCTGCCATAAAATCAGTATTTTAAAATAATAAATTTTCTTAACAATTTATTTGTTGAAATGTAACAAATTCATGTAAATAAAACATACCTATTAGTTATAGTTATATATCTGAGGAGAACTATGTATACTGTACTAGTGTCAAATGTTGTAGAGAAGTACAAAAGTTTCAAATGTTTTGAAACATATATCATGCGACTGATTTTGAAAATGAGGACTTCAATTTTTTACATTACCAATGCATGTTTTATTCTTAATTTGTAGAATAATTATAACATTAATCTCCTATATTATCTGTCCATTATTATTAAACATTAGGTACATTATCTTGTAGGATTTAATTTAATAATTTGACATATTTTATATTCCTGTAAAGGTGTTTTTTTAAGCTGTGCATTTTTGTTGTAATTTTTTTATAATAGAAAGTTATTTACCTTTTTTATAATCCTTATTTAGTAGATTTATTTCTTGTACTCATGCAATTCTAGTATTTAAGTACCTATTAGAAACAACAATTTATAACATAGTGATAGTAAACATAAATGTATGCCATAATGACATTACAGTCAATAAAATGATACTCAACCAATGTTTGGCTTTTTTAATTTCATTCAATTTTAACTTCATTTGATAGGGGAGAATGAAAAAGTTAGAGGTTTTTACGCTAACTTCAACTTTAACTTCCTTTGGGCGACAATATGCACGTACTTTTTTTTCGAAAACGTAGAATGCAATCCTCTTTGGATCATTATCTATAATAATAATGACTGGCCAAAAATTTTCACACAACTTATTTTTTTCAACAATTGACTACTATTTTGTAGATACTATTGTAGTGAAATCTTAGCGCAATTATTTTAACTGATTATACATCGTTAACAGCAGACTGATTCATTACACGGTAATAAAAGTACCTACTTGTATTAGTTAGTCGATCACTTAGGTCATGTTAAATGACTGCAAGTTATATTTATTCTTGGACTGCGCAGAGACGTCGGAGGTAAGTAGCTATGAATCTAGCTATATGGACGATCAGTAGACTTAAATATTATTCACAGCCCTCCAGTAACTCATGATAGCAAGAATAGCACCAAAGAAAAACTTAACGATCAATGTAGCGGTGGAACAAGTCGCGGGTTCGATTCCCACATGAATTTTGTATGATCTACTAGTCGTTTCGGATATGTGCGTGATATTTGGTATGTAAACATGTTGCCACACAAGTCTACTGTGTGGCCACGGTTATGAGTTTTAGAGGTTTTAGGGAGTAGTGTTAAAATATAAATAAAATACTTCAATAACAATTTATTATTGCTTGTTATTATTCACATAATACAAAATAAACTATGCACAAGTTTAAGACCACTGATATTCTATTTTAGACTTCATAAAATATTCTGAATTACAACTTTGACATTCACAACATTGCGTTGCATGTAGTGTAAGACGTAAGTAACATTTACAAGTGAAATTAATATACAATAGCAGCAGTCCTTCGTCAACTAATTGTGATGTGCTCACCGCATTAAAATTATTATTACATTCATGGCCGAATATCCTATTTAGGTTTCTAAATTATAAGTAACTGTACAATTATCAGCAATTATTCGTAAGTCATATTAAATATATTTACACAACTATGAATAATTATGTATTTCTCTCGGATGCCAATTGTTTAACGGTAATAATATTTAAGCACAAAATAGCGACAAAAATACACGCCTGCGCGTGAAATAAATAAAGTTCACTGTCCAAGTATGAGATAAAAACGAGAATCTTTCACAAATTAATTATGTACTTAAATCATTGTCATGGTCGTAAAAATAAAACAATAAATTGTTTACAATCTCGGCAAGATTCACGATAAAATCATTAATTTTATTCTGTTAAAATTATAAAAGGTTTCATTTAAAACACATAATAATATAAATCATTAAAATAAAAAAGAAACATTTATTGATTTTACAGTTCTAATAACTACTCATTACCTAGGATTTTACCTAATAAGAGTTTTACGGACAATAATTATTATAATCTTTCGGTGTCTTGTATTGTCATCTTTTTAAAGTTATATAGGTAATCGAGAACAAATAAATAACTTGTAGCACTGGTTTTGATAACGTTAATTAATTAGGTACATAATATCAGGATTGAACTGGATAAAATAAATCATCATAACAATTTACCAATAATAAGCTAGCGACAGACCATTATTATTAAATAATACATAGATAATTATTTAGTCATTATAGAAAATTAAACAGCACGAAAGTATTACGTGCTTCGCACGACTTAAAAGATAGTTTCAAGTTATTGTTTTAACACTATGCTCCGACTTTTAATTGCATACAGTCATTTTCTTTACAAACAAATTACATGTATGTATAGTACCCAAAAGAATCGCCAAATGTGTTTCTAATGCATGCGATTAGGAGCCGGAGTACAATATTACACTAACAGACATTATTAATTTATTAGCCAATCGGAAAGTACAAGAATTTGTACTTGAATAATATTTTACATTTCCTAAAATTATCCATTTAACTATGGATTTCAAATATTTATGTACTTACTTAATTATAGTGATAAAGACGCAGTTTATTATAAGGCAAGCCTGCCCTTAATTTCCCTAAATATTTCTTCTTTTCGATAAGTACATGGTGACATTTAATAAGAGTCATTTGATGTATATCAATGCAATACAATTGCGTTTTAACAAGTATTCATACATCTTTAATACACAAGTGGTTGATATTAGCTACTGAAAGGAAATATAAGTCACAAGAATTATTCATTTGTCACTAAAAGTGTTTCTATTTGGAAGATCCAACGATACTTACATTCATGTAATAAAAATAGATATTGGCACTGATTTTGTTGTGCACCAACTCACTCAAAATATCTTTAATTTACATAATATATGTACATAAATATTTCTGTAAACAATAACTATTAAACTGTATATATTGCTCTAGATATTTGAAACAAGAGTTTTTGATAATCTTTAATAATATACTCTTGAACAGTTTGTGTAAAGACAGTTACAATGTAATTTAATTGGTTGGAGCTACCAGAATCAATGCCTTTCTGCATGTCTTATTTCATTGGTTGACAAGTTGACAAGGTGTACAATATAATGAATTTATAATAAGGGTGGTAAAGAATAAAAAAGTAGAATTGTACTTTCTTCATATTTTATGATAAACTGCTGCAGTATATCACACCTTCCCCCAAATATTAAAAGGCATTTCAATTTAATCTATCTAGCGAAATAGTTGACTATCACTGGTTGTTTCCAATTTGTCAACCAATCACATCAGTTAACATGACATTTGATATTAATTTACAGACTTGATCTGCAACCAAAAAATCCCAAAAATTAAGTATGGGGATGAGCCCATAATTGCTTTCTATATGCCATTCAATTATATCATATATTAAATTAATATTATAATGACTGAAACACAGATTCACAATAAAAATGTTAACATACTGGCTCCAAAATGATTATCATTAAAATTAAAACAAAGCTGCACGCGATTACTATAACTACGCGACCACGTAATGTCACAACCACGCGTATGTTTGGAGCCAGCAGTTCCAGTGTATAATCTCAGTTCACTATTACGCTACTTGTATATTTACATAACTTATATTACAAGTTAATTTAATATTAAAAAAATCTCCAAAAGTTAAAAAATTGACAAACACATTAACACCCTTATACTTAACAAAGCGTATGGATTCATCATATTTACAAGTACATAAAGATAACGCGCGTAATGTTACATGCAAACTAGGGCACCAAAATAATAAGTACATTATTATCATTATTAATATAGTGAAACTAGGACCGCCTCAGGTGTCTTACAAATTGTAGTATAGTCCAATAGACTGATTCAACTTTGACGCAATAGTACACTTTGTAAAAGACCAAATAACGGGTCAGATGTGCACTACATTCAAAACTGAATGCCATACATTTAGGTCACCATTTTCATAAGGCGGAGAATGTTTATAACTTATTCACCTAATATATTTACAATATGCACAGAGACTAAAGCAACACGAATAACAGGCATCAAAAATTTCAGGGCAGCCATTTTTATTGCTTATACTTTGAAGTACTGTATCCATTTATGTGCTACCAATACTTTAACATTTATTTGCTTCAACAGATATGCGTTATGAGGAACACATGTTATATTATATTCCATACAAGGCTTATTAACCACGATTTCTTAGATTTAGGTTAAAATAAATAAAATGACAATCATAACAGACTAGACATAACAGGACCGTCTGCACTTTCATCAATAACCTATTCACCAACCATTCTGTGGAGTTACTAGCAATATTGTATTTTGATTTAACATAATATTAAAATCAATTGTAAGTCTTCAAATACATTTTAGTTATCTTAATTTAATGTAACTATCCAACATGAGATCTTCCCTAGCTAGGGTACCAACAGACCATATCTTATGATCAGACATACTAACTTCATACCCAAGCCTACTTGTACTCACATACAGTGTCCATCTTCCTTGATGAAGTGAAATAAATATTTTGTGATGTTAGGAGAGGATTTCAACTCAAATAGGTGGTAGGAGGGGAGGTGAGGGGGGTACGGCGCATCGCTATGGTTTGAACTTCACCAGAGGTATATTCTTTGAATGCAGGCACTTGTCACATACCCATTCCGCGTACACTTCTGCTGTCAGTAACTGAAACGCTGGCTCTGTTAGACCTGTGCAGCCCCTGAAATATGGCATCATTGGAACTGTTAGTTGATTTATTGGCACAAAAATATTAATAAGACTGGTAACATTCCTTTATCTACATTACACATAAATAAATTTTAAATATAAGTAAGAACTGTTGTGAGTTTGAATGGATTGATAAGACTTGTATAAAGTTATTGTGTATTTGTTTTTACCAGTGATGTGTAACTAGTTTGCAACTTATCAGCATAATAAGTCATATTAATTTAATAAGAGAAAGTTGTTTTATCCCCACATAAGTAAGAAATATTAAATATCAATCTTTGTTGTAAGTTGTTAAATGGTACCATTTAAATTTTTGTAAATATATGCAGTTGAATTATATAATGATAAATTGAGGCCCATTAAAAAGTACCATAAATATATTATTATTATCACCAAATGAAAAAAGAAATTGAAAGTATAAGAATATAATAATATTATAATAGGTGGTACATACCGATGAAACCAAAAGTTGCAGCCAGATTCACATAATATAGCTTGATCATTGTCATGTACTTCTTTGTGACAAACTCCACAGGGATAAATAGGGGGAGCATTAGGGTTTTGAGGATTAAATACCATTGGTTGATCTGGAGGGTACACTTTTCCAGCACTGACTGGCATAGGTTTTGGTCCAAACATACCCATGTTCTGGCCCATAGGACCAACACCTTGCCCCCCAGGACCACCCATTGCCATGCCACTCATTCCAGCAAGTGGGCCACAATTTCCCATGTTACCTGGCCCAGGTCCCATACCCATCGATCCATTTCCTCCCATTCCCATTGGTCCACCATGTCCCATATGACTGCTAGAGTAAGGTGGACCTGGGCCCATGGATGTCATAGGTCCATTGCCACCCATTGGACCACTTCCCATGCCTGAAGGCATTGGACTTCCATGTCTCATAGGTCCACAATGTCCTGGCCCCATACCACCACCTTGCATAGGATTAGACGACATTATTGAATTACTAGGCCCCATTGAACCATTAGAGCAACTTGGTCCCATTGGTCCATTCATGCGTGGAACATTCATGCCCGGTCCTCCACCACCCATAGGACCATTCATTGGCCCATTCATAGATCCTGCACCAAGAGGACTGTGCATAGGTGGACCCATAGGACTATTGCTCATGTGGCTACCTGCCATTGAACCCATATTCATAGGACTTCCCATGGGTCCAGATGACATTGGTGAGCCCATTGGCATGGAATTCATAGGACTCATGGGACTACCCATTGATCTTGAAGTAGGCCCCATTCCTGGACCCATGCTGTGGTTGCTCATACTCATATTGGGGCCTCCCATGGGTGACATTCCTCCCATATGTCCCATAGGACTCATATTGCCCATTGGACTGATACCGCCTCTAGGAGGCATTTGCTGATTCATAGGGTTCATACCATGTGGGCTCATTAGCCTCATTGGTGGACCACCCATACCGTGCATAGGCCCCATCATACCCATTGGGCCATTTTGACTCATCATTGATCCATTTTGACTCATCATGGGACCATTATGTGATACAGTGGATGGGGAGTCATCAAAAGGGTTTGAAGCAACAATAGTATCTCCATATCCAGTTAAAGGAGGTGGTAGTAGATCTTGTGCTGTAGGAGGTGGCTGTGGAGGTGTTAATGCATTGTTTGCGTTTGAAGTTTTCCTTCGCTTTTTAGGGTTGCTTGGTGCTGGCGCCGGAGGAGTCGGCGTGTCCATTGGTGGCTTGAAGTCTGGAGGCCCTAGACCAGGGCCTGGCAGCCTGTAGGACGGCATTCCAGCCAGATTGTGACTCATTCTGATATTATTCAGTTTCAGCTCTAACAACCATCATCATGAATCAATGACATGAACATTTTAGAAAATGTATTTGCACATAAGGCACCGCATTGTCACGAGAAAGCGCAATAACGTGCCGGAAGACTGGTTGTGTCTATTTCTGTAACAAAAAAATATTAGACTTGAAATAATTTCACTGCAAACATTTACATTTACTGTTCAAGCTCTATGTATTAAACGATTCTATAGTGTTTCGTTTCATTGATCGTCAAAACTCAGTAGTAGATGATGGGTAAGAATTTACGATTCTCAAGATTGACAGTAACGTAAGTAACCTGCCAATAATAAGCAGAAAAACATAATATGAGGTGTGACTTATTATAATACTGTTTCTTTTAAATGAGATAATTGAAGAAAATATCATAAAACTTACAACATTATCAATTTAGCATCAGAATTACTGATTATTTTTTTTTGTCTTCATTGAGATCCCAAGGCAGGCGTGCAACATATGACAAAATACCAAAAGTAAATCACTTTAGAACGCCAGATTTTGGGCTTCACTGAAAGCTTCTTAGTTGTTTAATGTTCTAACACACACGAAGTTCACTTATAACAAGGTTTAGTAATGCATCATAAGCATTTTTATTTACGACTCACAGTATTCCAAACAACACACGCCACATTCACGATGTACTTCTATGACAAAATTCCCGCGAGAGGGCGCTTTGATAGAATTTTTTTTAATCATCCAAAGATGTTCAAGATGTTGATCAATGAAGGTAAATAAAATTCTATATAATATTCTATATAAAATAAACAAAAGTATAATATTATTTTTTTAAGTTTTACCACTACATTTTTATTTATATCTATTTTAGTATATTTCAAAGTTTTGTTGATTATTTAGTGCGGTCAAGATAGCAAATGTTGCCATTACAATTTATAGCAAAAAACAGTAAAGTAAAACCTAAAGCAAAATACCTAAACTCAGCATTTTGTTATTTTTTTACTTAATATAAAATAATTTTAAGTTGTTACAAACAGATAATAATTTTTACTGCACATAATTTTATTCATTTTATTTATTACGCTATTTGTAACTATAAAAATATTTATACAATAATGTTGATTAAAAAGTTGCTTGTCGATAGATATATATATATATATATATATATATATATATATATATATAGCATATAGAAAGCGAACATTTTACCGAAATAATCAGTGAACTTACATAAAATCTGCTAGTTATTCTTCCAAGAAGAAGAATACATCTATAATAGTTATTACTTCAATAGATAGATGGCAGTGTTGACCTGTGCATGATGACAAAGTTCCAGTATTGCATCACAGATGGCGCAACAGTGTAAATGAACTAAAACATTAATTGCTACTTTGGTTGATTAAAAAAACGAAAAAAGTCAGGTAGATAAAGGAGTATCTGCCTCGTTTTTATTGATATGATTATATATATAAAAGGAAACCAAGCTTGTCTTATCAAATCTTAAACGCCTAGTTTTAAGTACCTATAACTACTTACTAAATTCTATTTATTAATTACTTTGGACTGGACTTTCATCGCTAAAGTACCTACTTAAGGTTAGTAGCATTATGAAGAATGATTTTTGTAGGGGACATTTTCAGGGTATGCAATAATAAGGATTATGTAAATAAAAACCGATCTGACCCTGTTGGCCCTTTTCCAGTCTTTCGATAGGAACGAGTACCTATCATTATTTTAAGGTGCTCCTTTCTAACCAACATTGTAGAAATGCTATTCGTAATTTTTATGTGTTCTCTCCAACGAAGTCACTTTACACAGGCTTATCTAGGGTCACCTAGCCTACCTAGCATTTAGAATAAATGAACATCAATTTTTTTATCTTAATTTATTTTTTCATCATGTCTAAATCATCTCAAAAGCTTTTTCAATTTCGATCTACATTTTCTCGTTACATTTCAACAATATTCCTTAGTAAAATTATTCACGCCTTAAAGATTTATTATGAAATCCAAGTTGAAATGAATACTAAACTTGCTCACATCGAGAAGGCTGAGCTCGACTTAAATGCACCGCTTAAAAAGACAGATGTAGGTCCATTATGCCAAGTTGCAAGACTCGCGACTGCACCGCCGCTAACTCTTACAGCTCCTGACTGCCTTTAAAATGATTTAAACCGACACTTCTTTAAATATACTGTACCTTAATATTATATTTACCTAGATGCATGGTATATTTGTAGGTTTACCTTTACATTTTTGTTAATTTTACAGAAAAAATACTCACTTTAATCTTTGGTAAATGGTAAACCATTAGGTACCTTTCGGTTACAACAAAAAGCAATGTTTACAGCATCATGTAGGTAACTCACGCAATGTAGCGTGAATTTAATGTTTAGTTTAATTCTATGAAATATAATTCCTAAAGGTAAATAGTAATTACTTAATTTATCTTATCAGAATAATCCTTTAATCAGTCACTTTATTTAAAAAAAAGGGATTTCCTTTATAGTTGGGGTATGAACCCAAAAGCTTTATTTAGCTTATTTTTTTTTTATTAAGTTAGCTAGCCAAAAAGTCATGTGCCGCCTGTCGCCTTTCATTAAACAGGAAGAATGTTTACCATTCTGCATACGTTGCCAAAAAACTATAAGGTGCCACAAATTCACGGCATAAAAGTTGATAACATTCAATGCTTATACCACGGCAGACAGTTACAAAATTTCAACTGTAGGTACTTGTTCAAACTTGGAGTGAAACATTTTCACAGATTTTGCTGCACAACGCTGCAAAACCTCACCTAGGTATACACCGTCTTTTTACTTACAAAACTTTGCACTGCGGATACATAGTGCGCTGTCAAAAATGCATACATTGCAAAATTCCCATTTCTCTTCGTTTCGCTTTTTCAAATAAATATGCAATAAGAATTTTGACAGTGTAAGCCCAAACTTTTGTTTTGTTGGTTTAAGACTTAAGTTATAGTGTGTGTATGGAGTATCCATAACTCCATACTTACACACACTATAGTTACATTATGCAGTGAAACTTGGTTAAGTGGGACCTGGATAAGTGAGAAACCTCCATAACTGGAACTCATGCTTAGGTCCCAACACTTTGGCACTGATTTACCTCTGTTAGTGGGACGAGGTAAACCTCTATATCTGGGATTTGTTCTTTCGATTTATCATCATAGTTATCTCTATAACTAAGACAGCGAGTAAATTTTATATGCATAAACCTCTGTAACTGAGATAACATTGTTTGTTTACTCATTCTTATTCTACCCACAAATTCCACACGTAATTCCAAGTCCACCTCTGTTAATCGAACCCTCTGTAAATGAGACAGATATTTATTTATACCTGTATATCTGAGACACTGGGTAAGTGGAATACCTCTTTAAGTGAAACGACATTGCAGGTCCCTTGATGTCTCACTTAACCAGGTTTCACTGTAATGTCTAATTTTATCATTATTAGTTTGCTATTGAATTACATCATGATCATCAATCTGTAAATGTCCCTTCTTAATAATTTCATACACAGTACACATGACATGGAATCGGGAAACTACGTGTTATTTTCCTATTTAGGTCCCAAATATTTATTCTATTGAATGTAATCTTATTTCTTAAATTAATAAAGAGTTCGAATAACCTTCAAAGATGAAAAAATATTACCCATAACAATGAAATTTAAAGCGTATTGATTCATTTCTAAATGCCTTTTATTTGCAAAGCTGAGAATACTTGTGTGTGTACTTGACCTAGATAAACGTGGAAGCTGTCGCCGAGCACTGGGCCGTATCACCTGGATTAAAATAGTTAGGTGAGACTCAATTCAGTGGGAATAATTTATGTGAATTTATAGAGTTGTCTTCAAACATTATTAAATACTTAAAGAGTGTTTGTGACCCATTTAAATTGGTTAATGATTATGTAAGAATGTAGATAATGTTTTCTTATCTACTTTTTAATTATTTCTTCTCTTTGTTTATTTGATAAAATCATACGTAAACGAAAACTTATCATTATTATCTAATTCGAATTTTAACATTTTCTTATTTAAAATTATATATAATCGGTTTAACAGTAAAAACATGGCAAAGTCATAAACAAACAATCACACAAAGTACTTTACAAATTACTTCCGACTTATAAACTGTACAACCATTTTATAAATTGAGACAAAACTTTGAGCGAGGGATATAACGATACAACAGTCAACAGAGTGTCTTTTTACGTCGGAAAATCTTATTATTATCCAGTCAAGAGAATGATGTTAGATGAGCGTATAAAGGTAATTTGCCAAAAATATAATGAACGTTACTTACGACATCATGTAAACACCTTACCGTCTCATGTTATTACAAAAAAATGAGAGCAAGAAAATCATGGACTGGAAAAAGCTATCGTAGCTGTTTTTCGTTCATATTTCTGAAAGTAATGGCCAGTTATATCTAACGTCAATTTGTATAGAGTACTATATTTGTAAGTCTTTTATAGTCTGTGGCGCGAGGCCATTTGCTATTAGGTAATGTTGAAGGGTATAGGTTTCAGCTTGTTTAAAAAAAAAATTGTTTTATATTAGTGTTAAAATAAGACTAGTTGGTATTTTACGAATCCAGTTATTTGACATTGTTTCGATAAATAACACAAATAGATGATAGGTATTCAAAATCAATCACAATCCATTAAGTCAACCTTTATCATCAATTTTAAGATTACTTGACGAATTACTTGACAAAAGATGTCATTATTTTAATAAAGACGAAGTTTTCAATTAAGAATCAGTCACAAGCAACAATATTATGAGATCTATGAATAGAATGTCAAAGAGTTGAAAGTCAAGACAATTATAATAGTTCGAGATTCAAGAGATTCTAATAATCCGTCTGGATTAAAATACTGGACAAAGAAACGAAGAAAAAGATACTTGAGCTCAGTAAGAAGTAAGTAGATTTTTTTAAAACTGATGTCTAATTGAATCGTTTTTTAGACTCAAAATAGAGATTTTGTGTAAAATGTGTAGCTATATCTAACGTAATCATAACCTTAAAATTAGACACTGTCGCGATAATACAAACCAAGTAAGTTTAATTAAGTAAAAAATATATACGGTCCTCAAATTTCTAATCCCCAAAATGCCAGTAACGTACTTGTCCTTGTACGTCTGGTGTTTCAGGTGTCCATGGGCGGCGCCGATTAGTTACTATCAGAAGCATCAAATGATCTGTCTGCTCGTTTCCTAGTTTATTCCCTAAAAATACATAATAGTTTTAACAACTGACTGCCTCATTGGCCGAGTGGTCGCAAGTGCGACTGCCGGGCAAGGGATCTCGGGTTCGATTCCCGGGTCGGGCAAAGTATTACTGGGTTTTTGAAAACCTTAGTACGGAGTCTGGAAATGTGCCTGGTGAGCCTATTGCCAAATAGGCTCACCCCCTATTATATGGGACTCATAACATAAATAGTGAAAAGTGGGTGTTACATTGTACAGTGGCATTAAGCGCCTAAATGTGCACCGCTGCCTACCTCTTCGAGGATAAAAAGGCGTGATGTTATGATGTTATGGTAGTTTTAACAACATACAAAGCACGCTATCTCTCAATAAGTGCAAACTCACAAATTAAGCAACGTGTTTAATTGTTCATCATACCGCCCTGCACTACCTAAGCGGTTTGTGTCGCTTACACTAGAAAGTAATATACGGCACATAAATATTCATCAGGTAGTCA